GGGGGCGGCGGGAGGGGGAGGCAGCCGGCCGGCCGGGCTGCTCTGCCTGCTGGGGCTCTGCACCTGGGCCGCCGCCCTGCGAGGTAAGCGGGCTCGGCCGCCGGCGCTGTCCGCGGTGCTGAACGGACTTCGCGAGCCCACAGGTTGCACCGGGGACTCCGCTGCGTGGGCTCGCTCCCGGCTTGCACGCAAGGGCTGCCGAAGAGGACACAGGATGGGGTTGGGTTGTGTTGGGGCGGGGGGCATGTTTTGCTGCAGGACACTGTGTTCAGTTGGGGCGGCAGTGGCAATTGCGATGGCGCCTGTAGTTGGACTCCCTAAGCTGGCCCCGGGGACAGCTGACCGCAAGACGGCTTGTTTTATAGGCAGCCACAGCTCGAGTGAGGAGGATCAAGCAGGAGTGTCCTTCAAAAGCCAGCGTGTGCCCAAAGTCTTTCAACGTCCTCATAGTTTCTAGGTTTGGGAGGGACTTGAATAGATCATCAAGTCTGACCCCCTGCCCTGGGCAGGAACGAGTGCTAGGATCATAATACCCCAGCCAACCTCCTCTTAAAGACCCCCGGGTAGGGGAGAGCACCACCTCCCTTGGGAGCCCATTCCAGAGCCTGTCTTCCATCCTGGCTTATAGTTTAGCCCCTGTATGGCAGGGAGAATCATAGAAAGAAGGACCAGAAGGGACCTATAAGATCGTCAAGTCCAGTCCCCTGCCATGGGCAGGACGTAGTTGGGCTCAAACAAGCTCAACAAGGTATTTGTCCAGCCTCCTCTTAAAGACTGCCAGAGATGATGAGAACCTAATTGCCTGCCAACAGCAGGAGTGTCTGGCATATACATTACCCAAAGAACCTTGTCTGCCTGTGTCCTTAGACCAACACGGCTACAACCTATACCCCTGGCATATACATTTATATATCTAGAGAGAGAGAGGCAGGCTTCAATCCCCACATTTTCATCTCACTTGTTTCTGCTGGTATTCTCCGGCAGAGCAACTCACCAAAGGGTGTCAACAACTTCTCAGCATCTGGAGTCCTTGACACCTTGTCTGTTATCGCTGGACTTCTGAAAGCCAGCAGTGGGGGTGGTCATGTCTGTCATCCTGTTGAAGGGAAATGTCTGCTGTTGGTAGCTCAAGTTTTTTTTTTCTTTTGTTTTGTTTTGTTTGCTTATGTTAGTACAGATCAGTGTATCCATCACAAGTTGGGGTTTTTCCCCCCTTGTCCCCAGGGGGGAAAAAATCATCAAAATCGGAGTAGATTCTACAGTAATCTCTTAGGCAAATTATCTTGACACGAACATGTTTATTTGAGTCTCCAACCTTCCTTCCATTTTCTTTCCCACATACTTGGTTGTTTTTTAATCTTTGTAAAACAAGTCGTCAGCTGGTAGCTGGTGGTAACTAACATCTTGCTACGGTTCCTGCGAGACTAGCTGTTCACTCTCATCTCCTGCGTTCCATAACAAAACATGTTAGTCTAGCATAGAGAGAAGGGTTCCTGCAGAGACTGAGGCATGGGAAGGTTTTTAGTGTAATCTGGGAAGCTGTAGTATTTTATCTTAGAAGCCTTTCAACAACAGTTCCATTGCACAAGAAAGTGAACTTTGTGGTCAGGATGGAGGATGATGGGAACAGAGTACAAACTAACTTATTTTTTCCTTTACTCCTTGTGCCTGTAAATAATAAAGCAATGTGTATGTTACTCAAGAAAGGGTGTACATATGAGTTTGTAACGTAAGAGGGTGTTGGGGAATAAAAATGGCTCAAGGGCTTTATGCCATGTCTTTTGAACTCATTAAGATTTTTTTGCCATTAAACTGAACAGAAACAGAATCAGGCCCCAGCATGCATCTGAAATGTCACACTATGAGTCATGTGCAGCAGAGCAACTCTTCTTTCCTCTCTGCTGTTGGAAACAAATTTGAGCTATTTAATTCAAATTTACCATACAGGATGTTTCAGGTACCAGTCTAAGTAGAATTGTTTTTAGACATTATTATGAGAGATAGCAGGGTATTTTTAGAATCGCTTCAGCGTCTGCAGTCTCTCTCTCGGTTCTGATGTTGCATAGTGTTTACTTGTAGCTTTAGCTGGAACAGTTAACCTTGGTTACCAACCCATTGAGCTGTAAGATTACTGCTTATGAAGTTGTCCTAAGAGAAATTGTATTCCAGAATTCTACTCTGAGTTTAAAAGAAAAATGAAATGATTATAGATAATCTTTACATTGCATTTTAAGTCTATTAGAATGAATATACGTGTATAGCTGCAGGCTTCTATTTTACAATAAGCACTGTACAGACAGATTACAGTAATTTGAAAAATAGGACCTAGAGAGTCGCTACTGTTTCCCTTGTAATTAACTCATTGATGCATAGAAAACTCTAGATATGAGGAGTCTAGCCCCACAGCTGAATAAAGATGCCTGCAAAATGTAAACATTAAGCACTGGTCTTTTAATGTCTTGTTTTAAAAGACGGTAGCTATACCCTGGTGGTATTTCTAGAACCAAGTACATTTTATTTTAAATTAGTATCATTAACAGATTTTCCTTCCTCCTCAAATAGTGCCTATGCATTTACAGTAGTGCATGACAGCCACTGAATATTGCTGCTGATTTTATGAAGATAAAGTGCACCACTAACCGACGTAATGGAATGCCGGTGGGTCTGTGGCCAACAGGGTGTTGGAGCACTATCTCCTTTCAGTCAGAAAGTTCTCATTTTTTGCATCTAATACATGGAGAAAAATGACAGTCTAGATATCAGAGGTACTGCTCTGGATTCTGTGAACCAGGGGACCAGGCCAGTTACTGGAAGACAACACTTTTGGAGATAGAACTAGAACTAAGGCTTGTCAGACAAAAGAGCAAATACTGATTTCCTCTTACAATAGTCTGGTGGCTAAGATACAGGACTAGTAGTTGGGAAATATGGGTCTCAACCCCACCTCTACACCTGTATGGAGACCTGGTGTAAAAAAAAGTACTCTCCATGCCATAGCATTTGCCATCTCTAAATGGGCATATTGTTTCACTTGTGCATTTGGATGCTGATGTTTATTTACTCAGCGCTTGGAAATTGCTCAGTTGGAGGTATATAATAATTATCTATCCTATTTCATTTGGGCCTTATTACTATCTCTCAAAGACCAGTTCCAGTTCTGCGAATCTGTTGAATTAGTGGATTTTTTTAAAGTGTTTGATTCTGCATTTGAAAAGAATATATTATTTCTGTTATTTATTACAGATCCTCAGTCAGGTTTGTTTCTGTGTACTTGGCACCCTGCTGAGAATAAAAGCTGCTTTGTTATTTATAAATATGTTTAACAGTTTACAACTTGAAAATGGGGAGGGGAGGGGAGAAATCTTTCTGACCTGCCAAGTGCTAATTGAATCCACACATTGTCAACAAGTTGACTTCTCTAATCTTCTTTAAGTCTGTATCCAGTGAACGTATTGCCAAGATGTAAACCTGAAATACCTATAATTATTTAATGTGGGGGTAAACGAAATATAAGGAAAAACTTGAAAAGTGTTTATAGACAAATCAGAAACATTTTGGCTTGGTTGTGGACATGCCATTCGCAGGCAATGGACATTATGTTTATGTATGTACATGACAAATGAGAGTTATAATAACTGTTTATGTTAGAAAGAAGATCATATAGCTATCTGCTTGGCATAAAGTTTATTATACTTTACCAGTGAATGTCTTTTGCTATTTATATGCTCAGCTACTTTCTGAGCACAGGTGTCTGGAGTTTTTCTTCATGAGATTTTCTTGGCTTAACAGTTGTCATCACCCTTTCTGTAACATTCAGAATATTGCACATTTGTCATACTCATAGTGCAGTATTCTCTGTGTTGTTCAGATGGGGAAACTGAGGTTCAGAGCGGTTAAGTGAGACTTGGCCAACACAACAGAGAGGCACTGTTTCAGAAATGGGTCTACAATAAAAGGTCTTCTACTTAGAACTTTTGACCATCAATCTTTATCTTCTGCTTTTATGAACAGAACTCTAGATTTTGTAGTTCTTAGAGTTTGTGCTGGAGTCTTCCTCATCACGGGTGTCTTTCCTCCTTCTCTGACTAATATGTTGTAACAGATTATGTACTACGATTCAAAACTGAAGAGAAAAAGCTGTAGAGCAACAGATTTTATTCCAGCATGCTCTGTGCCTTCAGATAAGAGGGCACTAGTCACCACAGCATCTACGTGATGTAGGTGGATAAAGGTCATTGTTTTGGTTCTAAAACCCATACTCACGTAGTACTTTCTTTGCAAAGCAGTTAACCTGCTACTTGTTGCAGGTCAGGATAGCTTTACACAATAATGTGCCTCCTCTCTGTCCAGACACAAGATCAAGATTTTGTACATAATGCCTTGTCATAGGACAGAGACCTGCCATCTCCACCATATATGCCTACTAGACCACATCTGTCTTTCCAATATCATCAGCTGAATAGCTGGTAACTAGCATAAGAGGTGCTAACCTAGTCCAGGGGCCGTAACACTTAGACTATTCTTGACATGAATCTGCTCCAGATGTACTGTACATTATATTTTCTCCATGTATGTGTAAGAAGTTTGTGTAATTTCTCATTCTTCCTATGCAGAAAATAGCTCGACTACAGGGATGAAATTTGCATTCAGCATTATAAAAACTAGCATCCATCTTTGTAACAGGGAATTTTCACCAGTGTAGAGCAAAAGTTGCTAATATAACGATACTTTCATAGTGAATTACAGAAGGCAAATACAAAGACTACGATATGAAATGCTAAGATGGAAAATTACTTATGGTACAAAGGATCCCTCAGGGCAACTTGATGTATCTTTTCTGTATTTTGAGTTCTGCTTGCTGGGGAAATGTGGTGTCTGCAAAGGAGAGCAGAATGGTAACACCAGAGGCTGCTGTTTCTGTTGTTTTGGATGCTGCTGCTGTTCCTGTGGAGCAGATGGTCAGATTCATTTATAGAAAATAGAAATTCGTTTCATTTTGTTTCCAGTTTTAAAGAACTTTAATTGTCCTGTGCTGCATTGTATCAGATGGCCTTACCTTATAGCATGGATATTTGCAAATATGCTATATTTATACTCCATTACAGCTCATTAGAAGTCAATAAACAACATTTTAGTGCATTCTGCAAGTAGATTATGTAAGCAGCTAACAGTACATGCAAGTCTAAATTATTATTTCACCTTCCTAATTTTCCCATCTAACTTAAATTGATACTTTTGTCCCTCTGGCCTTCTCAATTAAATCCAAGTTGAAGTAATGTTGTTACTATAGGCATTGCTGTAACTGCTCAGACCACTGGTCTACCTAGTTCAATAGCCTGTCTATTGAACAGTGGGCAGGATCAGCTTCTTCTGGGGAATATACATGAAAGTCTTCCTTGGCAATTATGGAAGAACTTGATCATCTGTGAATTTACTTATTTGGAAAGAAAATTAATAATCTCCCTTCCTCACCATCCCCACTACTATCCTGCATAGTGATGCTGTGATGTTTTCATTCTCTGTACAAAAGCCTAATTGTTTCTTGAATAATATTAAACCTTTGACCTCAATAGGATCTTGTGGCAATGAGTTCTGCAGGTTAGGGAAACACTAGGTTAAATAAATGATTGCCTTTTGTATGTTTGTCACCTTTTGAATTTAATTAGCTATTCCCTTGTTCTCTAGATTATTGGAGGAAATAAATAGGAGTGCCTGCATTATGTGCTATAACCCATTAATTACTTTGCATAGCAATATTATGTCTCCTTCCTACACAAACACATTTCTATGCTTTTAGTCTCTATCCATAAAAACACCTGTGCTCTCTTTAATTATGTTTCACATTAAAGAACTTGTATTTTATTTAATTTTTTGAGTCAGTGCAAAAAGAACTGAACACAATATGCAAGGAGAGGAACACCATTTTATGTATATACATACATGCATGATCTCTCTCTTTCTCTTTCTCTCGTGCTTCTACTTCAAGAATGTTATCTCCTTTTTCTCAATATGTTTTAGTTAACTTTGTCTTTTATTTTACACTGAGCTGAAGTTTTCATTTAAATGTCTACCATGTTTTTAGAGTGTAGTTTTATTTGTTTGCTTTTTTGGCAGATGGCGGTAAAAAATTCTGTGCCTCCGAAAACTCTGTCCCCCAAAAATAATTGTTTGCAAATGATAGAATAACAAGCCTGGAACTGAAAGCCTATAGGCATTGAACAAGAGACTTAGGAGCTTCTAAGGCTAATTCAACATTTTGCAGCCAGCCTAGATAAGTCATCATCATCAGTGGCAATCCCTCGCAATCAAGGATGATTGTCTTCCATGATTGCTGTATCTGTGGATCGCCAATCCAGGATCAACAGGTTCTATTGCAACTCAGGCATGTATTTTCATTCAGGGTGGTTGGCACTGGATTCTTGGTTTGGTTCAGGGTGTACTGTTTCTGCTGCTCCCACCTTTCCATCGCTGGTTGTCATTGTGAGGTTTCAAAGTACTGAGATCCTTGCAGCAGACTCTTCCTCCATTTGGGGCAGTCCTGGGCAATAGCCTCCCATGAGTTGATGTTGATGTTGGTTGTTGCCTTTTTTTCAAGTTGGCCTTGAGGATGTCCTTGAAGAACTTTCTCTGCCCTCCTCTTGAGCGTACTTCTTGACTGAGCTGGGAGAATAAAACTTGCTTTTGCTGAGTTGAACATCCGGATGATGTGGCCAGCCCTGTGAAGTTGATGTTGGATGATCACCTTGATGCTCAGGGTGTTTGCTTGTGTGAGGACACCAACTAATGTTGGTGCATCAATCTTCCCACTGGATTTAAAGGATCTTCCACAGGCAGCATTGATGGTACTTCTCCAGTGACTTGAGCTGTCTCCTGTATGTTGTCCACGTCTCAGCTCTGTACAGTAAAGTAGAGATCATGGTTGCTTGATAAACCATGAGCTTGGTTTTGAATCTGATGTCTCAATCTTTGAACACCTATTTTCTCAGGCATCTGAAAGATCCACTTGCACATTTGAGGCACTGTTGGATTTCTTTATCGATGTCAGCCTTTTGCGAGAGATGGCTTCTGAGGTACGGGAAATACTGAATGTTCTTCAGTCTCACCATAATCTGAATTACTGGAGCTGGCAGGGAGCTGTTCATTAAAAGCTTGTTGATGGAGGATCTTAGCTTTCTGAATGTTAAGCATCAGTACCATTTTCTTGTATGCCTCAGTAAAGATGCCAACAATTGCCTGAAGATCTGCTTCCAAGTGAGCACACACTCACTTGGAAGCATCATCATCAGCGTACTCGAGCTTGATGATTGAGATTGGGGTAGTCTTGGTTTTGCCGTGGAATTGGTTGGGATTAAACAGTTTACTGTCCATTTGGTAGTTTAGCACCACTGTGACTGGACGCTTGCTGGTTTTCACATGTAGCATCACAGTAAGGAATATTGAGAAGAGCATTGGAGTAATGATGCAGCCTTGCTTAACTCTAATCTTAACGTCACAGAGATCTGTGATAGATCCATTACTGAGAACCACCATTTACATACCCTCATGACAAAGAATGGTGACACATTTTGGTGGGCATCTGTACCTCAGAAGGTTCCTCCACAGTGCTTCTTGGTTGACAGTTGAAGGCTTTCCTGAGGTCAAAGAAGGCCATATAGGGAGGTTTATATTGTTCCCTGCATTTTTTTTATACAGCTGGCGAGCAGTGAAGATCATGTCAGTTGTGCCTCTTGATGCCCTAAAACCAAAATCGGATTCTAGGAGGAGCTCTTCAGCAGGTGGAAGGAGACAGTTCAGAAGAGTTCGCACACTGATCTTTCCTGCGATGGACAGCAAGGTGATCCCTCTGTAACTTCTCCAGCCGTATCTGTCTCCCTTCTTGAAGACTGTCACAATAATGGCATCCCTGGAATCATCTTGGATTTCCTCATCATTCCAGATCCTTAACATGAGGGCATGGAGTTGTAATGTAAGCTCCTCTCCCTCCAACTTCCCCCGTTTGAAGATTTCAGCTGGGATTTCATCTGCTCCAGGTGCCTTGTCATTTTTTATCTGCTTGATAGCTTTCCTTACCACATCAAGGTTTGAAGGGAGTCTGAGATAATCTCTGACTGAGTGTTGCAGGATGGAATTGAGAACGCTCTCATCAACAACAGTGTCTCAGTTGAGAAGATCTTCAAAATGCACCTCCCAACAGGTGTTGATGGCACCTCTTTCTTTGGCTGGGTCTCCTCCATCCTTAATTCTCAAGGGGGTTGGTCCCTGAGTGCTCAGACACTAAATGGCTTTGGTGGCACTAAAGAAATTGCATTTCATGGATGTCAGTGAGATGTTGAATCTCCTTCAGCTTGTATTCCCACCATCTGTCTTTCATATCATGGGTCCTGCCTTGGCTTGTTGGAGATTCAGTTTCTTTTGCTTAGAGTTGGTATCATTTTGCCAACCACAAAAGACCTTTAACTTACAGTTGATCAACTCCTGGATCTCCCAGTCATTCTCATCAAACCAGTCTTGGTGTTTGCTGGTAGTGAATCCAAGTGTCTCTTCACAGGCACAGATGACAGTGGACTTGATGGTACCCCAAACACTGCTGACATTCTTCCATAGTTGTTGATTGGAATTATCCAGTTTTTCATTGAGGTGCTGGTGGAGGAGGTCTTGTGTGATTGGGTCCTAGCGTCCTTTGATAATGACCTTCTGTCAGCATTGTTTCTGCTACAGCCGTTGTTTGGGATCCAGTTTGAGTGACATAACTAAGTAGATGAGTCAATGATCAGCCCAGCAATCTTGAGCTCCTAGCATAGCTCAACTGATGTGGACATTTTTGTGATCCCAGGCACGAACAATAATGTAGTCAATTAAATACCAATGCTTAGATTGCAGGTGTTGCCATGATGTCTTGTACTAAGATACACAGTCAGCATGTTCAAGTTGAAGGCTGAGTGGCCCATAAGATAGAACGTGGGCACCCACTTCTGTTTCTGGTGGGCAGTTGTGCAGGCCACACATCCCCCCCTCCCCCCATTGGAAAAATGTCTAAATAAAGGCTTTGTATTGAACAGGCATGAAGGAACCCACACAAACAGGCATGAAGGCAGTTGCTTCTAGCAGGAGAGGTGGAAACTTACACTACTGCTGCCTGTGCTCTGTGCATTCTCTGGGTGAAGAGGATGTTGCTTTCCTGTGCTGCAAAAACAAAGCAGGTACTAACAGTTCACAAATAGGAAATATTTCCTGATGAAGAAGCAGGCAGTTTGTTCTAGTAGAAAGGTAATGGGCTGGGATTCAGTGGACCTCGGATCTGTTGTTGACTCTGTGTGACCTGGGAAAAAACACTTCATCTCTTTGAGTTTGTTTCTACTCTTTCTTTGAGTAGACACTAATTGCTTACAGTGTGTAAGAATGGGACATGATGAAACCCTGATAATAGCTGGGCCTTCTGAGTGTCACTGTAACACCTCCCCTCCCCGCCCCCCCCAAGCCGGTTTTTACAACTATAGTTCAGGTGTCATAGCTTTACGTAGAGCCAGAAAACACCCATTAAAATGAATAAACATAGTAGATAGTCTTAAGAATCTTGTTTCTGATTTTTATCAAGTTTAGGGTGACCACAGTCTTTCTAGGGAGGTGGAATCACAAGAGTACGTCATTGCATGTTCACCAACAAATGAAAAATCAAAGCATTCTTTCACAGGCTTTAAGAACTTGAGATTTAAGAAAAATCTTTCTGTAGAAATCTTTCTTGTATAAGGTCTTATTTTTCTTACATGCAACTTGTTTTGTTATCAATTTGTAGCTTCTTTTAGGGAATTATCATAACAAGAGATTAAAGTCTCTTAAATTATGCTTGACAAGAACTTTCGCAATACAGCACAATCTGCCCATTCTCAAGTGTTTATCATGCTGTGTATCCTAGGGCACATTGGGATACATTAAAACACTGAAAGCAAATCTCCTATTGAAGTGGATAAAATATAGAAAACAAACTTCAAAACCAAGTTTTAGGAATGGGGAATTCCTGCTTTTCTGTATAGAAACAGACTTCCAGTTCTGAGGGGCGGTCGAACTCAAATCCAGGAACCCGACTGTCTTCAGTGGAACATCAAAGAGTGCTCAGAAGTCTGCCATCGACTGCTACCATTGATAGCTTAGATTGACATGGCAGGAATCGAATGGCCATGCATATACACAAGATCTGATTAAAGAAAGGGATAATACAGAAGCTGAACATGAACAATTAATATTTTCTTTTTTTCTGAGGAAAAAATTAATAGTACTTTAGCTTAAGTAGTAAATGATCCAAATATATATAGAAAATATCTGCACATCATTATAAGACCTGAACTCGAGAATGTGATATGTACATTTTGCCTGCATACACATAGGGAGATGTGGATTTGCACACTAAAATGGACAGTGTATTTATGGAATAACTCATTGGGTACCTAAGCATTAGTGTAATAAGACATATAGTTTAATGATATGCTTTGAATGAAGAATTCTGAACTTTTGGTCTATTAAGTTGGTACTGGCAGCATGCTTTTCTTTGGTACCTCAGACCAAGTTGACCTATTCAGTCTTCTCTCTCCAACTTTTATAGGGCATGTGAATAAAAATCTTAATATATGGTAAGTTTGAATGAATATCCAGGTAGTATATTTGAGAATCTGCCTCATTTGACTTGGAGAGATATACAGGGATAAGTCTTACTTTTACATCAGTTTGTGCAAGGCATTGCCCTAAACCAGGGGTGGGCAAAATGCAGCCTGGGGGCCAGATGCGGCCTGCCAGGCCATTCTATCCAGCCCGTGGGGCCCCTAAAAAATTTAGAAAATTAATATTTATCTGCCCCGGGCTGCCTGTCATGTGACCCTCTATGGCTTGCCAAAACTCAGTAAGCGGCCCTCCGCCCAAAATAATTGCCCGCCCCTGCCCTAAACTGTACCTTTGTATTTCTCACCTGTTTAATTAATAGGCCTTTGTTGATCCACTTCTATATACTACTTCTAGCTGACTTCCTTCACTTTGGTAAAATGGTTGTTATCTTGGCAGTTTAAGATAGGGATAGTTTTGTTTCCAAAGTCTGTCTCCCAATGGTTATTCATTGCAATTTATCCAGGAGGAAAGAAATGTCAAGTGAGATGCTTCACAGTGAGTATTCTGGAGGTAATATGAAGTTTCATAAACTTATCTTAATTTCAAATTATTTAGGAAAGTGCCATGGGGTGAGGAGCAGAGAACAGATATGATTTTAAGGAGATGGGATGGAAGGTGCATTTAGTTTAAATGAAAACTCACAAGTTTTTAGGGTTAATGTCTTCCTCATTGTACCTCTTCTATTTTGTAGAATAAATAAAGAACCAAAGTTACTGTTTTTGAAAGCTTTAACAAGAAATATAAAGTTTAAGTTTATATAAGGAGCCAAAGGAAATTAGATGTTGAACCCCCATTGAATTTCAACCTTTAAAATCTTTTGAAAAAATCATTTTCCCTGAATAATTTACTTTATTTTTGTCTCTCAATTTACAGAATGCCAGAACTTAATGCGGTATTTTGATTTAATTAATTTATAACTTTCATGTGTGAACTTCACATGCTTCTCAGCTTGCTATTGAAAACAATTGAAATCTAAGTTACATTGCTTATTTGTGATTGGTCATAAGTCATATGCTATTATTTGTCTTCCTTAGCTAGAAGAGCATAACTTTTATATATTAGAAATTCCTATGTGAACTGAACATTTTCTTTTCTGTCAATATTTTTGCTAGCAAAATTCAGTTGCTTGCCTGTTGCGAATAGTAATTCAGAGAGAGGAATTGTTTCAATAGTTATACCAGTCCTTGTAATGAATTGCATTATAGAAATACATTTCTCTTATTAATTTAACTGAAACTTTTCTATAAATTCCTATTCAATCAGCAATCATACAAATGTACATGACTTTTATGGTGATAGATATCTCATGACGTCCTTGATATTAGGCCAAATTCAAGACTGCTGTGCATTTGAACAGAGGCATTATTCACTGAAATATTGAACGCAACTCCTTATTAAGCATAGTTCCTAATTTAGG